CATGATTTGTCGTGTCTTAAGATCTTTTATCTCCTGAGATAGTTTGCCAGTCTCCTGTCTAGTGACTGTACCTCAAACTTTTATTGCACACTCTTTCATGATACTAGTAAGATTATCAGTTCCTTGTGTCAATGCTAATGTTGGTTACCTTGTTTAGTGCCTCGAATCTATTCTGAAGCAAAACTCTGAATTCCTGTACTTTCTTTCTCACCTGCAGCTTCATCAATTGACTTTTTGCATATTAGTTTTTTTCTTTTTTAAAGCTAGGTGAATACGAGCTCATACTATTATACTGGTCACTGCATTGGATCTTGTCAACTACTTCTACATCCTGTACAATGCCTGGGTGTGTACACTAGAATGAAGTCTATTTCATTTTTAGTTTCGTCCATTAGGACTTCGCCAGTCCACGGTTAACTCGTTTCCTGAAGAAAGTATTCAAAATTTGTAAACTATTACGTTTTGCAAACTCTACTAATAACTCCCCTCTAGCATTTCTAGAGCCGATGACATATTCCCACAGCATACTGTGGAAATAGTCACAGTATACTATTCTCATAGGCGACTTTAATGCCAAAGCAGGCCAGAAACAGGCCGTAGACCATGCAGTGGGGAAATATGGAATCGGCTCTAGAAATGTCAGAGGGAAGTCAATAGTAGAGTGCACATATCTGCGACAAAAATGCACTTCAGTGTCCTCCACATCAACACACACGTGCTGAAACTCACAGTTATGATAAGGTAGCCTTCATTGCAAACTTTACTGACTCGTACAACAAAACAAAAGCTTTAAACAGACTGAACCAAGGAAGCACAGGAAAGCACTAAAGCTGTTTTGATAATTGTGAAACATGCCAGTAATCACAGGTTGCATTCTTGGTCACTTTCACGACGCTAAATAAAAAGTAGACTAGATGAGAGAAATGACACACAACTTATCAGCACAACTTTCAGTAAATCAGCTTTGGACCAACAAAATTTCTTGGCCAGGAATATCACGATTCAGCAGAATAGACTAGAGTGCCTTTACCCTCAACTGTAAAGCTTCTTGAGAAATACACATATTATGACGACTCGGTTGTAGCGAGGTTTATTGGCCGTGAACTCGGGAACGAACAAGCGCAACGGACCCGACAAAGAAGCGCTCGTGCCAAGCAGATGATGATTGTCAGCCAGAACATATGATGATGATTGACTGCTGTTCAGATGAGGATGAAGCGCATAATAGATGCCTACACTGATTCCCCCCCCGTGGAAGCGGCCAGCCTGGCCGCTGCGGGCGGGTAGTCAAGGTGACGAGGAACGTCGTGTGAAAAGCTTCATGCGGGAAACGTGTACAATTTCGGTGCTGCGGTAACGGCGGTCAGTTGGCACGACAAGAGGCGTCACACGATAGTTGACAGGTGAAGTCTGCTCTAAAACAACATATGGGCCGATGAATCGAGGCTGGAACTTGTCGCAGAGACCAGGTGTGCGAATTGGTGTCAATAGCAGCACCTCGTCACCCGGTCGGAATGATACCACACGATGAGAGGTGTCGTAGACGGCCTTCCTTGCTTGTTGCGTAGCTTCCGTGTTCATACGAGCGCGCTGGCGGCACTGGGCAAGGCGAGAAATATATTCTTCGCAAGAAGATGGTGATGTAGGGCCATTGCTGGTGAAGAAGGAAACATCGATAAAGAAAGTAGGTAAACGTCCGTAAACGAGATAAAACGGTGAGTAGCCTGTTGTGCGCTGAACAGCGGTGTTGTAGGCGAAAATGAGGAACGGTAGAAGTTTATCCCAGTTTCTGTGATCCGGTTGAATGTATACGGCGATCATGTCAGCAAGGGTTCGATGAAATCTCTCGGTCAGACCATTTGTTTGAGGATGGTAGCTAGACGCCATCTTGTGTGTGGTACCAGAAACGCGAAGAACTTCACCTAAAAGCTGTGATAAGAACACCTTTCCACGGTCACTCAGAAGTACACGAGGTGCACCATGACGTAGTATTATGGCCTGAAGGACGAAGTCAGCAACTTCCGATGCTGAACCAGTAGCTACTGAAGTTGTCTCGGCGTAGCGTGTCATATGGTCTACGGCGGTGACTATCCATCTATTTCCAGCACCAGTAACAGGAAGGGGTCCATAAAGATCGACGCCGACGACCTCGAAAGGTGTTGTAGGGCACGCCATTGGCTGTAACTGACCAGCTGGGGGAGATGTGGGAAGTTTGCGAAGTTGGCATGGAGAGCAGGAACCCACGTACTTTGCTACGCTGGTAGAAATCCCAGGCCAATAAAAGCGGCTTCGAATGCGGTCGTAGGTTTTTTGAAAGCCTAGGTGGCCAGCAGTTAAATCGTCATGAAAGGCGTTAAGTACATGATGTTGAAGAGCGCGTGGCAGAACAGGTACCCAGCGTGTGCCGTCAGGATGATATATGTGACGATACAGCACACCGTCCTGAAACTTGAAGTGCTCGAGTTGTCGACGAAGGCGTGCATTGGGTGGACGCGTAGCTCCTGAAAGGTGGTCTATAATGCGCCGACAATACGGGTCAGCCTGCTGGTGAGAACTGAAGGGTTGTTCATCGTCGATTGGCGGTTGGTACAGCGAGGCGAGCAAGGCAACAGAAGTGGGAGTCACGTCCGCACTGGTGTCGTTGGAGGTGGCAGCTGGAGTGTCGAACGACGCTGTAGGTAGTGGGCAACGAGAAAGAGCGTCGGCGTCTTGATGTTTTTTGCCCGATTTATAAATAATCTCAAACTGATACTCCTGCAGGCGTAAAATCCAACGACCCAAGCGTCCGGACAAGTTCTTCATTGTAGAAAGCCAGCATAAGGCGTGGTGGTCCGTTACGATGGTGAATTGACGGCCTACAGATAAGGACGGAACTTTTGTATGGACCAAACCACAGCGAGGCACTCCTGCTCAGTGATGGTATAGTTTTTTTCGGTAGAAGTTAGCACTCGGCTAGCATATGCGATGACCCTTTCCCGTCCAGAGTTATCGCGTTGGAGGAGAACAGCACCTATACCGCAGCCGCTGGCGTCGGTATGCAGGAGTGTTGGGGCGGTGTAATCAAAATGGCAGAGTACAGGCTCTGACGTCAAAGCTTTCTTCAATAGGTGAAACGCCGACTGACATTCCTCGGACCACACAAAGGGTGCATTAGATGCAAGTAGTTTGTGAAGTGGCGCAGCTATTGAAGCGAAATTTTGTATGAAGCGACGAAAATGAAGGTGACCCTATGAAGGTGATCGGCGTCGGCTTGAACGGTAAGTGTTCCGCGTCTCAGTCGACGCGGGCGGAGATGGAGACCGCTGCTGTCCAGATGAATAACTCCGAGCGTAAGAGTCCCCTCTGGAAAAGTCCCGTTCGCGCATGTCATACCCGCGACGCTCGTCCTGCTGGCGCTTGCGGCAGAAGCGCGATATATGGCCACGATATCCACAGTAAAAGCATGTTGGGCGAGACGAGCGCCAAGGCGGGTAGTAGAGGGCGTTCGGCACACCGGGAGATAGCGCACTCAAGTGGACTGACGGAGGTTCGGGTGGGATTGGCCGGAAGTGGACCGGTGGTGCAGCAGCAACCGGCGTGAATGATGGCAGCGGTGAAGTAGAGTTTACGTTGCGAGGAGGCGCGGCCGCAACTTGCGCGTACGTTGGAGGGCTAGACGGAGGTGGCTGGACGTAGGCTGGACCGGTGAATGATGTTAGTTCCTCCCTTACGATGTCACGGAGGGCCATGCTTGAAGGCTGTGTGACAGATGGAGAAGGTTTTGAGATACCCATTGATTGAAGTTCTTCTCGTATGATCTCCCGTATCATGTCACGCAGGTCCCGGTCTGCGGTACGGTGTTGACTATTGCCCGACTGAAGGCAAACAGAATCAAGTTCGTCGAGACGCTGACACGTAGAGACGATGTCCGTGACAGTAGAAGGATTCTGGGCAACAAGGGCATTGTAGGCAATGCTTCCGATGCCCTTCAGGATGTGGCGCAGTTTGTCCGACTCGGACATCAAAGAATTGACGCGCCGGCAAAGCGCCAGGACATCCTCGATATAAGATGTGTATGACTCGCCGGGATGTTGTTGGCGAGTATCTAGGGCCCTCCTCGCTAGAGCGGATTGAACGGCTGGCGTGCCGAATACTTGGCGAAGCTGCTGCTTGAAGGCAGGCCAGTCGGTGAGGTCGATCTCATGGTTCAAGAACCATGTCTTGGCAACGCCCGTGAGATAAAGCGATACTCGGCGGAGCTTGTTAGAGTCGTCCCAGTGATTAGTTGCGCTTACCCGCTCGTAGTTATCGAGCCAGTCCTCCACATCTTCGCCGCGGAGACCAGCGAAGATCGGAGGGTCACGCTGGTGGTTTACGATGTAAAGAGGAGGGGCTTGCGGCGCAGTGACGGCTTGCGGCGCAGAGACGGGAGCCGAAAGGGCATCCACCCACTCACTCTGAGACATGTTGGCGGACTGAGGGTCCAAGCGGCGGCCTGTACGGAGCTCCAGCGAGTAGGCGTTGTAAGTAGAGGTACTGGGAACGTCAATCCACCTCCACCACGTATGACGACTCGGTTGTAGCGAGGTTTATTGGCCGTGAACTCGGGAACGAACAAGCGCAACGGACCCGACAAAGAAGCGCTCGTGCCAAGCAGATGATGATTGTCAGCCAGAACATATGATGATGATTGACTGCTGTTCAGATGAGGATGAAGCGCATAATAGATGCCTACAATATACGTACTTCCTTGCAGCTTCACACCGCAAATAGATGGATGGCAAGGTTTCATTTCCGTTTCTTTAGGAAAAACGTTTTGCGCTTAACAGTTCCTGATTACGCTATAGTGAACTTAACCCACTGTATCAAGCAGCCGGGCAGGATACAAAATCATGCAAAAGTTAAAGTGCCTTCAAAAGGGGCACAAGTGGTCAAAACCTCTGAGATCAGTGCACAGTAATCGAACCACAATAGGTCTCTACTGGTTAGACTTTAGACACTCACATAATTAGCCAGCTTACCGAAATTTGCTCTTCGGTTCCATGACCTTAGATTTCTCTGCAAAGGCCTTCTCATATAGTTTGCCCCTGCAACATGTAATAAGCACATTTTATTTTGCAATGAAAATACAGTGTTATAACTCTCATTGGTACCTGCTCTATCTCAAGCTAACCAAAACTGATTGGCTAAATGAAACCTCTGCTCAATTTCATAATGAAATAAATGCTAGTAGTACAGCTGGAAGGCACACTGCCTCTGTACAATGACGCACATTTAGCTATCTTTGGCATTAACTTATATAGATTTGCAACGCATTCACAGACTGTCATCACCGTAATGTCAAAATGAAGGCAATTTCCAGTCTTTTAATGCCTATTACAATGCCATTAATAATAATAATATAATATTAAGTGTACAATGTCATAAAACTATGTTATGATTACAAGGGATGCTGAAGTGGAGGGCTCCGGAAATTTTGACCATCTGGTGTTCCTTGACATGCACTGACATCCCGCAGCACATGGGTCTCTACCAATTACAATGGCTGCATATTAGCATTGACTACAATTAAAGAAAAAGAAACGCTTCCTGCAAAACAAGGACTCAAGCACTGCAGACCCATACCAATTCTACTTTGTCTTTTCTTTCAGCAGAGCACTTTAAAGGTGTTTTCTCGAAAATGCAGGTGCCCTTTTAGTCTAATCAAGTCGTCTTGCTTGCAGCACAGGTTCTTCAGTCCCACTGCCAATGAGCTGCCCACCGGCGGGCATATGTTTCTGTAGCGTGCAACTTCAAAGGCAAAACCTGTCCTTTGGACTATCGTAATTAGGTTAAATGAAATATGTGTGGCAATATACATTTATTGTTCCAATCAATGTTTACGAGTGCAAGTCGTTAAGGAAAATTCAGACAACCTTTATACAGCTATCCAAGAAATAATGACTGAGAATGCATAAGGTGGCCAGTTTTCTAGCCCAACCTCTGTAGATACTAGACAGGCCTATGAATGAAGGGACCCATAACATCTACTACTGAACAATTCAGAGTACAGACACTGTATTGAATAAAAAAAAATTCACCTGCTAGTCATCTTGTGTCTCAGCTTCTTGCACCGTTTACGGTGTGCTTTTTGTCGTTCCCTATCCAGGGCTATGCTGGGATCAATTTGGTCAGCTGAGGCGTCAACAATGTGCTTTAAGTTGTATGATTCCTAGAAAGAGGGAAAGCAGGATTTGTTTTAGCCCACGTCATTTCCTTCAAATATCAGTGACTATCTGCACATAAGAAAAGCAAATAGAAGATTAAATTAATTGCGGGGAGGGGGAGGGTTTAGTGTTTCAAAGCAGCAAAGGAGCACGAGCACTTACAGAGGGCACTGGGCATTAATTGATCACATTGTGTTTTTCTAGTGCATCTAACCTTAGCACATCTGATCTTCAAAAAGTTTCAGTGGAAAGCGTAAATGGGAACAAGTTGGAACGTAATGCCTGGCAACAAGCTGTATTGATGGGTTTGGATAATATACAGCCGAACTCCTTTATAAGAGACACAGATATATAAGAGACAAATAGGTATAAAAGACACCAGTGCGCATACAGGAAGATATAGGCTTGATATTAAAAATGCAAATGAGGTAGCCCTGCTACGAGAGATGTCTCTATAAAAGACAAGAACTGCTCCTCAGTGCAGGTCTCTTACAAAGGTGTTCAACTGTAGCGTGCAGTTTTACAAAATATGGTTTGAGAAGAGAAGAGCACAAAATGGTGCAGTAGATGCCATGACATGGGTAATAGTTGCAGAAATAATACAAACTGCCCTGAAGTAAACATGCTGTGTTAGTGAATGCCCGCATCAGTTCACTAGTGAAAAACTCACCAGCTTTTCAGTGGAAGGAGCCACTTCCTGGTACTTTTCGCGAATGGCTTCCTGATGCTTCTTTCCTCTTAGGTGACTGAGCAGATACACCTCTGATCCAATCTGTAAAGCAAATTGCAGCAATAAAACAAATTGAAAGACCAATAATAATGCCACAACTGTTGCAACGAACATGAAAATTACACTCGAAGGATTGAATAAAAGCAGTTAATGCACTGCATGCATTCAAGTACTTCACAATGACACAGACTCTCGTTTATATTATGGTATTACATGACGCACTGATAATCTGACATACTTACCAGTACATTGCAGAGAGAACAGATTTTCTTAGTGTCATAAGGCTGATGGTGAGGAGCATCATCGTTGTTCGAAGAGCATTTGCGAACACTTAGCTCGAATGCTTTCTGTCTAATTTGCTCAATGTTTTCTTCATGTCTACGAGCACTTTCTTCTTGCTGCTCAAGCGGGAAAAAAAAGACGCGTTTTATTCAACAATACACACAAGCATAAACCACATTTAACAGAATGCTGGCAAAGAAAACATTAAAACTTACCATGCTTAGAAGAGCCCAAATTAATTCAATTTTCCTAAAGTCACTTAGTTTTCATGTTACGTTATAGTAGAACTACATCAACATTAGAACTAGTTGCAAATTGTTAAGAGCTCTTATCGCAGCACTCGGCAAATCGCAGTGATGGTTGGTATTCCATAATGTGTGATTTAACAAACCTTTGTAAGCTTAAAACTTTCCAGCTCCAAGTTGCTCTTGATTAAATCAGAACTACCTTGAGGCGCACTGAACAAAACCAATGGCTTGCAAAACTTATGTTTACAGTGTACCAGTTTTTTCACTATAGACTGCACACTGAGAAGGAACACATTTTATGTGAAGTCTCTCGTTTTCGCCATGACATATAAAAATCCCAGCTCAGCATGTTTGCATTTTGTTCATCAGAGCAAGTGGCACTTTGACATCAGAGTAAGTCTGCTATTCACCTTCAGCTGGATCTTTTTCTGAAGCTCTTCTGCCGCAGCCAGTTGTGCCGCATTGACGGCAGTGAGACGCTGCTCTCTCTCTCTGCAGAAAGGAAGAAGTGTAAAAAGAGTAGCAGAGCGGCTTCTAACGGCACGGAAATACAAAATATTTTACGTAGCAGTCAAGCCGTGCCACCCTATCAAGGTAAAATACAAGGCGTTAACGATATGGTTGAAAATGAATATTTTCAGTATTACGCATCATAAGCATGAGCACACGAGCCAGACTCTTGCATAGACTAGTAACATATTGATGATGTTTTCACAAGAATTCATGCAAAAAACAGTTCACGTTTCAGAGGGTAAAGCCCTTCTCACCTTTCCTTCTGTTTCACCAGGCTTTGGCGCAGCTTTTCTTTCTCAAGCTGCTGCAGCTGAACTTTCTCGTCTTTTAGCTTCCTTTTCTCTTGTATTTCCAGCAATTTGGCTTGACGCTCAGCCTCAAGAACCTTGCGTCGCTCCTGCAAGCAGATTTCATGTATGGCATTCTGTACATTTCTCTCCCTCCCATCGCACACACACTGTTTCAATGAGCATTAACTGAATCAGGGAACTGCTACAGACACACTTCAACTTAATGTGTACAAGTCAGACCACGCTCGCCTTTAGTGACGTGAAAAACTTATGCAGTTTAAAATAATCTAATCCACAAAGCTTTTTTTTTTATTAATGCAGAGCCATTCAGAACAGGAATGTGAAGTTTGGCAAATTGCATTCATTACCAATCACACATTCCTTAACAGCGAGCAGATGTGGACCATGCCGCAGTAAAAGCAATATGAAGGTACTGCACAAAAAAATATATATATATATCTGCAACTCACTTCAGCAGCTGCTTCTTTTGCAGCTTTTTCTTCTTGCCTTCTTTGTCGTTCTTCCTGAAATGTGAGGGCCACTTTAAGAACTGTCGAAAATCAAATCGTGACAAAATGTGCATTTCAAGCAAAGCAAGGAAGCGCCAAGGCCTTGCATTACAGAGTAATAAGGCAAGACATAACTTAAATGAGGCACAAGAAGCCAAGGCATCATGCAGGTTTTTAGGAAAAGCATGGACTTCCCAAAGTTGTCAATTTTTCACTCAAACACACGGTCAGTGCATGTGGACATAGCGATGGTAACATGGCTGCAAGTAGCTCTTGTAAAACAGGCTAAATCTTCCTGTTCTCTGTGAGCAATGCCGTGGCAGAATAGAAGCAGCTACGCCCAGGACAGCTATTTATGATGACATGTCAGCCACCTGTCGTTAAAAGCTGCCTGCACTGACCGAAGCGAGTGTTACAATGTAGTTAATGACATGCAAGTTAGACATAAGTTACTGCAGTCTCACAGCCTTGAAATAAAGCCATAAATGACATCATGTTAGAGGATGCACATGTGCTGTAAAAGGCAAAGTCTGGATCTTTGTGGTGCTGAATCTCTTAAATTGTTTTGTCCTAAAAAGCACAACACACAGATAGAGTATACTGTTGCATCTTGCATAACTTCTACGGCCTCACGTCTGCAGATCTGAAAACAGCTAACAAAGAAAAAATGAAGTAGTCATCTACCAGTCACTTGATTCCATTATTCTGAAGAATACACTGCTGTTTATGATGGAGTGAAACTGACTGAGTGCTGTCTTACATTACCTCTTTACAGCTTATTTGTATTCTTACACACTTTGTAGTAAACCTGTGATGCTCTCATAACTGATAAGCAAGAATCTCAAACACTTCGCTAGAGCCTTGACAGCTTACGTAACTAATGCGATGTAAGGGGCTGTTGGTCCGTGTTGGTCCCTGTCTTTCGTTGCACCTTCCTAGGGTCAGCGCATTGCCAAGCCAGCTGATGCAAATTTACTGCCACGCACTTCAAATCAAGTATTGGCAGCTGAGCTCAACTAGTGACTGCGGTGCTAAACATCATATCCAGGCAAATGACAAATGAGAGATACTGCAGTAGAACACCTCATTGCACTTTCATGTAAAAATAATTGTGTTAATTGTACCCACCAATCTTTACGACAGTGGTTGTGCACTTATTCACAATAACATTTCCGATATATAAGGTCACAATAAAGTATAAAAACAAAAAGGATGGAAGGACAAGCACATTTTGTTTTCGCACTTCACTTAGTTTACTTCAGAGGTTATTCCCCAATATTTGCAAACTCAGTCCAACAGCATACTTATCACTATGAAAATTTTAAGCTGTGTGGTAGACTGTTACACAAGACATGAACAGTGTTAGACAGAACATGAGTGCCCCTTCGCTTCGTTCTTTTTTTTCATGCTAATAATGTATAATGCTATGGAGTAGGAACCAGGCCCAACCTTCACATTAATATGGTAGGATAGGCACAAATACAGGGCACCTGAAAAATACAGGCACCTTGGCAAATTACAGCCACTGACAGAAGCAGTGAAAAGAAATGTGCTCGACCCGGAAATAAGAACTAATGCCAGTCCTATGCAGATGCAGAGACTGGTATCTAGCCACCTGAATATCCTGCAGGCGAGCCTCATGGTCCTTTTCACGTGACAGAAGGTCAATACGCTTGTTCTGAGCTTCCAGGGTGTTAATGAAGGCTATTTCATTGACCTGCGCAGGGCAAAAGGTTTGAATTGCTTTCGCTGAATCCTGAGAGCACACAAATCAACAGATTGCTGATAAAAACCGTCTCACAAGTTTCACACCAACAGACGTCGTATCAGTTGTACGATACTCATGTGTCTTGAAGCAAAGTTTCAAAAAGTACATACATTACATAACAAATATGAAGATATCTAAACTTGTGCAAATATTTGAGCACATCGAAGATTCAAACGAACTTTAACATACCATATTTTTGTGCATAGTTTGCGCCCTCGCATAATTTGCGCACCCCTAACATTTTATCTACTTTTCGGAAAAAAAATATTTACTCACATATTTCGCGTTCCCCGACCTGCCCGAGCCAGTTCGCCGGTACGCACACCTTTGCACCTGTCGATGCTTCGGCCGGGTGCGCACCTCGCCGAGCAAACGAGCGCAGTCAAACAGGCTGCCAGTGAGAAGTCCCTTATTCCGAGGACTTTTTCCGAACTAGGGTCTCTAGAATACCGCACCCGAACAGGAACCCATTGACGGGTCAACGGAACTGTTCCAACGTTTGCCTACCCCTATCTCCCAATCTCTACCACTGCGATAATGATGAGAATGCTCGTGCACCGTAACGGCATGGACGACTTTCTGCATCGGAGGCGTACAAGAGCCTGTCGTGCCAACTGTACCCCTCACTCTCTGTGTCCGCGCTGTAACGGACGCTTGGTCAATTTCGGAAGTTTAAGTTTCCTGTTTCGCCATCTGGTCGACGCATTTTGACTGGTTCCCTTGCGATCTGCTCCAGGAATTGTATACACGGCGAAATTGAAGCTCGCTGTTGTGAATTTCGCCGAGAAAAATGGGAAGCGTGCCGCCGCAAAGTACTTCAAGGGACGTACTTCAACTTGACGGCCGGCACGATCGGTACGCTAGAAAGCAGAAAAGTGCGAGCTTCTAATGCAGGTTTTTTGCCATTGAATGAGGCCCTTTCAATTATGTGGGGATGCTTAGTTTTTCCGGCAATTCTGTGTCGTGAGGACTAGTTTCTCCCAGCATTGTTGAAAGAGCTTCACGAAAATACAAAAATTCCTAATCGAACTTCGCGATCATTTATTCCTTCTAGACCACGCGTGACAGGATATGACTGGGCAAAGTAGAGCTAATTCTTTAAAAATTAACAAGTATACTTCACTTGTGGTCCAATTTATTTTTTATTTTTTATATAAGTGTATATACTGCACGCGTTAAGAATATGGCACAATATTTCGCATACGCTAGCGAAATCCCTGCATGATTTGCGCACTCCCAGGGCCCCAAAATCGGGAAAAAAAATGCGTGAATTATGCGAGTAAACACATTCATTTTGATTCAAATTTAAATTATTGAGAACTTTGAAGCAGTCAAAACTAACGAATAAATGTATATTAGACAAGTAATCCCCTGTAAAGGTAGTTTCACTACAGCAAAGTCATGCTACACCATGAATACACTTTAAAAAAAAAAAAAAATCGTGCACTGCCACAAAGCCCACCTTTAAGGTTAAAGAAACATCTCACCCTCACATCGATGCATAATGCTTCAAGTTTAAGAGCTTGTTATGCCAATTTTTATAAGCTCAAAGTATCTAAGTATACTAAATTATAAAACGTAACATATCTTAGAAGCTATCACTTGTGTTCTAATGAAAGTCAAATTTATCTACTAGTTAATAGGGTCCGGCGGCAGCATGGAAAGCACTCGCTTCAAATTCTTATGCTCTGTCTTGCAGATTGCTGCATGCACCGGAATCTACAGTGTTCTGGACGGACCATCTTTTTCAAGCAACGTACCCTCTGGGCCGGTCAACGAATGTTTCGTCTATTCCTCGTGCGGCGAAGTAGCTTGCTCGGTTACGGCGAAGAAACTTTTTGGCAACCGTATCAGCTGGACTGAAAGTGCGTGCGCATGGTGCGATATCAGGAACAAGACGACATCTGTGACGACACCGGAATGTATAAAGGCATCGCATCGCCCGCTGCTCTTCAGTGGGTCCGACGGCAGCATGGAAAGCAGTCGCTTCAAATTCTTATGCTCTGTCTTGCAGGTAAGCTTAAAGTACAATTTCAAAAGCTATAGAAGTGGCAACTGTTTCTTAGTGCTGCTGCCGGACCCCCCTGCAGACCTCATGAATATGTCTTTTGTGCTGATGAATTTCTTCAGAATGCTGTTGCTTGTGTGTGGTGATGTGGAGAGTAACCCTGGTCCTGAGGTCGAAGACATGTTGAGAGAGTTGCTCTCAGGGCAGACTAAAATTGCACAGGAGATAACAGGTCTTTCCTCTAGGGTTGCATCCTTCGAAGAACGATTAACTAAAATTGAGCTGTCCATTGCGTCAATTACTGATGTTGCACCACGCGTGTCTGAACTCGAGAAAGCCGTAGCTGACATTCGAGAGATTGTTAGTAAACTGGACCACGAAAACCACGATTAAGAGAATAGGTCCCGTAGAAATAACCTGCTCATCTATGGCTCAACCGAAAACTCTGGGGAAACTTCAGGTGAGTTGCTGGAAACAGTAACTGGACTGATTACATCAAAACTAGATGTTAAGTGTGGCGATATCGAACGATGCCATAGGCTGGGAGTGCGTAAGAGCAGTAGCACTAGCCCAAGACCTGTTATTATTAAGTTGCTGGATTTTAGAACTAAGGTCGCTATTTTAAGCAATGCAAGCAAGTTGAAGGGCACGAAAATATTTATAAATGAAGACTTCTCTGAGCGCGTGAGGCAGATACGCAGGGATCTGTGGCAGAATTCAGCCGAGATAAGAAGAGATGCGAAAAAAGCCAGGCTGCACTACGATCAATTTGTTGGTGGACAACGTTCGGTATTCTTGGGATGAGAAGAAAAAAGTTATCGTTAACGAAAGCCGCCAGCTGTCTGCTACAAACAATGAATGACGGCTTAGTGCGAAGTCCTTTGCGCTTTTGAATTTAAATGCGAGTAGCCTAGTTAATAAAATTGCAAGCTTTAACTGGCTCATTGAGTGTCATAGTCCATCAGCTATCTGTGTGACCGAGACTTGGTTAAATGAATCTATCCTTGATCATAAATTCTTGCCTCCTGGTTACACGGTTCTAAGAAAAGATAGGCCTTCTGGCAGTGGTGGCGGAGTGGCACTTTTTATTAAAAGTGGTATTGAATTTTCTTTACTGGCAGAACTCCCAAATACTGAATCTATATGGTGCAAACTAATGCTTGATGGTCTCGCTATTGTTGTTGGTGCTCTCTATCGTCCTCCTAACTCTGCCTCAGACGTTTTTTCAACTGTTAGTGACTATATTGTGGGACAAAGGCTGGACTGTTCTAAACTCGTATTGACCGGTGACTTTAATGCCCCCTCTATAGATTGGAATTTGTTAACATCAACTGGTCGTGACAGAATAATTTGTGATTCTTTAATTAATCTGTCACTAGCTTTCGATCTATCGCAGCTGGTTGATCAGGCTACACGCGAGGATTCTATACTAGATCTTGTTTTTGCCAACCATGAGTTGGTTACGAATGGATATCAGTGCAGGGTTGTCGATGGAATTTCCGACAACATCTAAAACGACAATATTATCAACAGCAGTGCCCTACTTACCAAGAAATTAAGGTTAATGCACAAGAATACATGCGCCGCAGTAGGACATTCTGAAAATGATATCGATGAGTCGTGTACTTTGGGACCCTCGTCTGTATATTTTACTCCCTGTAACGTCCTTTTATGACATGATAATAAAACTGATTGATTGATTGATTGAGATGAACTGCCTACAATTAATCACTAGTAATCAATCTAGCTGCACTAAATAAAGAACCTTCCATGCATCAGGAGACGCAATAAAATGCTGCTTGTTCATTTCTGTTTCATTCATGAAAAAAGAACCACCGGACTTTACTATGGGGAATGGCATGATTGGTTCGAAAATTCAATTTTCGGGTGGTTAAACTGGACAGGTTATGCCATCTGGCAGGGCGCTGTTGAACCAAAGCACGTCTGTCATCTCAGAGCCAATGCCAGGAAATCGATCAATGGCTGTTGTTGCAGCTGTGGCTGCCGCTGGTTTTGTGACACCGACCACGCAGTAAAGCCGAATAACGTTGTGCACGGCAACAGTGACTCGAGTCTGCCTGCTTGTTGAGGTGGGCAATTTGCAGTGCGCTAACCTGATTGGGGCCACTAAAATGTGATTTTATTTCAAAATAAGCCCTTCCATGGCATAAAAGTAACAATACGAGGTTTCTAAACCGCTATTTCAACAATCAACATCGACTTATTAGTTGCCTTTATTGTCCCTTTAATTATTCTCAAGACCATATGTATTAATTATCAGAATCCAAACACAACGCCTCAATACTGTATGGCAGGCCATCAACTGCATTATAATTCTGCCGCTTGGGACTAAGAAGCGGTTCGATATAATTTGCCCTTTGATGATCCAAGGGGGAAGATACGAATCCATAAAGAAAGCACTACTACCGTTTTTTGACGTTCAGTACAGCAGTATTACTAAAACAAGTGACAAGGAATTGTGTGACACGTATCATTCGCTGCCAAAAAGCCCCTGCTGGATCCTTGTGTTGATATGGTACGCAGCGAATGTGAAGCAAAGGCAGGCTTCAGACTACTTTGTGGTTGTTCGGTTGTAAAATCTTTTTTTTTCTCTCTTAAAACAGTCTACTATTTTTGAAACTTTCTTCGTACTTTATTGACAAACTATGCAACAGTATGAAAGAAATATTTTACTTTGACCGCTACATTGTGAAAATTGAACCGCAATACGAGTCAAAATGCTGTTTTTTCCAACTTCACCACAATATTTTGGCAATGTTCTTGCTTTATTTGCTCCTGAAGTATTTTAATAATTTAATATAGCAGCATTTAAAGCAGAAATTATAAATATATTACGGGCTAAAAAATTTGTGCTCTTTATAAAAAAAACGCTAGACATGGGCCATATTGCAGTTTTTGCCAAAGCAAAAAAAGAAAGAAA